CAAACTGTTGAAGAGCGGTTTCACACGCCCTCAATGGGCAGCCTGTGCATCTTCCAGATGCCTGGTTAGGCCCGAAGGCCCGGTTGTCATCACGGTTCAAAAGAGAAGACTGGAAGATCAAAAGAGCACAGCCGCAGCTTGTTATCCTTTAAACTATGCATGTACATCCTACACTCAGACCGATCAATCAGCTGTCAGAACGCGGCGGGGACCGACCTTGCCGAGGCGCTCCAGGGCCGGGTAATCGACGGCGATCAGGAACGCTGCCAGGTCCGAGGCCTTGCCGGCCACCGGATTGCTCGCCTCCTGGTAGTAGGAGCTGCGGATCCAGCGTAGGTAGGAGAGGATCTCGCGGTCGTTCCAGGCATGCTCGAGCAACTGGCGGTAGGACCATTTCTTCTCAGCATACTTCGGCAACACCAGTAGGGAACGTCCCCACGTAGCCACATCTTGTACTCCATGAGGAAGAGGCTTGTTGGTACGGAGGGGTAGCACATATTGGTCCGGCTGGTTCTGCTGCCGCCGTTCCGCCTGGGAGGTGCTGCTCGACTCGGTGTCTGAGGGCGAGAAGAGGTTTGAGGTAGCCGGCGAGTTCGGGGCTGGCTGGCTGCGGTGTCCGTAGCCGGCGGATCCACGCGGTGGCTCCTCGCTGACATAGTACACCGGACGAGGTGGCGGAGGTCCATTGCGCTTCTCGTGGGGCACATAGTGGACCGGCTGAGGTGGAGGAGGTCCCCGTGGCCGATCAGCCGGGCTCCGGTCTGCTTCCGGGCTCGGTAGGCTGGACACCATCAGGAACTCCGGGGTTCCACACTCCGAAGGAGGGTTGCTCCTCCGGCTCATCTTGTCTGGTCTTTGCTCTTCGATCTCAGCCAGAAGCACATCGAGCTGACTGTTGTCGATCACTCGAGACACAAAGGCCTTGAGCTCGTCCTCGGCGACGGGCTCGCGCTGGGAGCGCTGTTGCTTCAAGCTCCGGGCTGCCATGTCTCTGAGAGAAGCTCGCGTGAACTAACACTGGCGGCAGGCTTGTGGATCAAAGGCGGCTCACGGCGACGGGAGCATGTACACACTGCTCTGTTGCACAAGGCTTCTTGATGGAACCGTGCCCCCAGGCAGGGCTCTAGCATGGCAGTGGCAGAAAAACATTATCACAGGGTCAGGAGTGGGTGAAGCTTACAGCACCCAGAAACTAACAAATTCACGATACACAGAGTCCCAAAGCTCTAGCCTATACTCCCCAAGTCGGTCTTGCCTACGGCAAGGAACATGCACAGTTCTCCTGACAATGACATTATCATGATGGGCGGTCGCCCTTCTTGCGAGCGGCTTCCTTTCGTCCGGACTCCTTGCTGGGTCTCACATGGAACATACAGGTGTCAAGGACCTTGTAGAGGATCTCTTTATTTCCCCGGAGCTTCGTCAGGCAGTCGGAGATCATCTGAAGATTATTCGTCCAGAAGGGAAGGACGTTGCGCTCAGCGAGACAAGCCCTAGCAATTGCATAGTCAATGGCCAACCGTTTTTCCATGGCAAGAGCACTGCTGCAGGCTGACCTAGTGAGGGCATCGTACAAGGACTTGCTATCGATCACTAAACCCGATTGTGTCTCCGGAACCCACTGCTGGAACTGGCGCGGGCTCATCCCGACAAGCACTTCCTGGAGAAAAGCTTGCGCAAACTCAATCGAGTCCAGGCCGTTCTGGGCTGCAAGAGTCTCTGCAGCTGTGGAGCTGCGAACCACACGGCGAAGCTTCTTAGAACTCCATTCTATGACCCAGGTTTTGCCGGGTTTCTGCTCAAGAACATCCTTATCACACAAACACAGAAGTAAACCACCCTGAGATTCCCCGTTGGCTCGAACACCCCATCCTGCATCGGTGATGGCAAGCAGGCGCCACCGATCAACGGGGACGGACGGAAAACGGAGACTGACCTTCCTCGCTTTCATCTCCCTCACGGCCTTGTTGTACAGATCGAGGTGGGACACTAGGGCTTTATCCTGGATACCCTGAAGATATGAAGCAAGAAAAGTCTGATCCGGGCGACTGTGGTTAGCGACCCAAGCCAGCTGACCGCAGCATGCACGCATCAAGGTAGGTTCGTTGAGGAAATCAGAAGCCTTTCCAAAAGGTTTAGTGCAAACTTCTTCAAGCTTATCTACATAGGCCTCCTGAGTAACCTCAATGCTGAAATCGGGGTGCTGTCTGATTTCGGCTCCTGTATACTTGATAGTTCGCTGGCGAAACTCACCAAAAGGCAGCTTGATCTTCAGCCGGGTGAGGCATTGATCCATCACAGACGTACCTCCGCCTAGCAGGTCGTCTACATGCACACCACAGATGCCTAGCAATTCATTGGTGTCTCTGTTCCTGAGACAGAAGACGCAAGGATCAAGCTGGCTCACGGCTAGTCCGACAGCAACAAGCTCACGAGTGAGTCGGAGGAACCAGGCACGGGGTGCCTCGGCCAACCCATAAGCTGCTTTGTTCAGCCGGAGAACATCATCATCGCTAAGATTCATCAGCTCTCGAACTTCAGGGGGCGGTCGAAAATACAGCTGTCTATCAGAATTATCACCCGACAGAAAAGCAGTCTTGATGTCAGCACCCCAGATCACCCAACCCTTACTAGCACAAATGCTCAAGATGACATGCTTACTCTCTTTCCGGAGGGTTGGGGAATCGGTGGCGATGCGTCCCAGATCGGGGTCTTGAAACCCGACTAGGACCAGACGTGCCTTGGCTGAAAGGGTGCGGTCGTCCGGATCCGAGGATTTCTTCCAGGTTAGAACCCACCTCGAACCAATTATCCTAGACTTCGGCACCCCCTTACCCTTAGCGATCGTGGTGACCTTGTTTTCTAACCAGCTTTGCCATTCCTTCTTCATAGCTCCCTTGAACTTTTCACGGTCCTCGGGGCCGAGCTTCCGGAAGCTAACCTCGACACGTCTCTTTTGCCCCGGGCGGGCAGCCACAACAGCGCACTCCTCCAGGGCTTTCCAGAGGCCACTTCCTTGAGAGTCGAGATCAACATCGAAAATATCAAGAGCAATTTCGCAGCATAACGCAGAGTCGCTGGGAAGTGGCTCCTGTGCGGGGTTATCGAAGGGCTCGCCAGCCGCTGCGGATGGAGCACTACCAGCGTCAGGACCGACAATTTCGGGAAACTGTTCTTCGACCGGGGAAGGTTCATACATGTCAAGGTCAAGGTCGGGAACAGGATCTTCGGGGGAAATACGCGGGGCCTTATCACTGGGTGCTCGACATCTTCTGCAGTCGGTTCTACCTCTTCACGGTTGCGGATTGTCGCCCCTCCTCGGGGCGAGGTCTGGGCCGCACGGCGCTCCCACTCAGCGTCGCTGATAGTCACTCGTCTTCGGACGTTACGGTTAGGGTCTACTCGGGTGGTTTCAGGGTTAC